CTCGTAAGTTCAAATTCTAATTGCAGCAAATTTTTTCTTGCTTTTGGTTATATTTATGTTAAAAATTAATTTTCCATATTGTTTTTAGTTTAGTAAAAAAAATTTATTTTAAAGGATTTTTCAGAAATTACTTATATATTATTGTATTAACATCTGTTCACAATAAATTTAATAAATAAATTTTCAAGTGATAAATAATAAATTAAATTTAATTAATTTTTTAAATATTGTAAATTTTACATTCATTTAGATAATAATTGTCACAAAAAAGTTTAAACTATATTTTTTATGTGGATATCAAATAAAATATACATATCCATAATTACAATGTTTATTTAATAATTCTTTAATGATTTATTTGAAACAATTAACATTATGAAATATTTTTTTTATCAATATAAAATGAATAATAAATTAATAAATTTGGAATACTCTATATATTCTAATATTCTAATATATTATTCGCATATTCTAATATATTATAAAATGAAACAGATAACTGATTATGTACAAGAGAATACATTTCTTTGCAATCTTCTCATCTTGTCTTATTTCCCGTTTTGAAATAATAAGGAAATCTGCATTTTGCAATTTTGCAATATAATTTTTAATTTGCCTATAATAAAAATAAACGCATACACATATCACAGGATTGATATGATAAAATATGTTTCGATGAAATTATTTTTAATATACATATCATAGATATATTATTATTATCATATCTCTAAATTTTTGGTCATTTGTAGGATTAGTTTGGCCTTCTTAAAAAACAGCAATAAGTAAAAATTTTCTTATCCATGTATGATTCGATACAACAAAATAAAAGCATTCGTTATTAAGATTCTTTTGTAAGATTTTATATTACATTTTTTATTAGATTTTGATAATGTTATACTTTTGTTATGTCTATGTGAATTTAAACATTTCATTTTTGGTAAAAATTTTCCCGAATAAAATAAGATTACGTTTTAATGTACAGAAATGAATTATTTTATTAATTATTTTATATCGCTAATTAATAAATCTGCATTCTATAATATTGCTTTCTTATTTTGGAATAATATCTATATAATGCAACAAGAGTGCAATTAAAAAATAATAGAAAAAAATGTTTTTTATTTTGAAATAATTTTCATTACTAGTAAAGTTTCTTTTAAAGATTAATCTTTTGAATTCATATATTTTATAGTATTTTTTTGATAAATATATTATGATAAATATATTATCTTTTTAATTTTCTAATTTTGTAGAAGTTTTAAAAAAAATTAAATAGAAAAAGATAGCTGTTATTGTTCATTATAAGATTTTGTGTTATAATGCACTATAGATTTTTTGAGTGAATTTCCATAAACCACCTACGCCCGATTTTCATGAATTTCAACAGAAATACTCCAAATATTGTCGAATGAAAGTCCTGAAGTGGATTTTCTCCGATGATGACAACATACATATATAATACAGAATTTACGATCGACACAGAATTTATTTGCTATAAGCATCAACATACACAGTATGATCATTTTCCTTTTTTTCTTGCTTACAAAATATCTACGTTTCACGAGATCGACGTGTTGCGGTTGTTGTATTGTATAACTTTCATCCTTTTTCTCTTAAATGACCGCGTTTGTCACGTTCTCACACGCTTGTCTAATAATTATTTAGGATGTCATGACAAGAGACAATTTTGTGCAATTATTATTTCATCGGACTTGATACTAACATACACACAAATTAGTTTCAATCCCCAAAAAATTTTATCAATTTATATTTTCTTTTATCTTTTACTTACAAAATGTGAACGTGAATTACAGAGTCGCTTTCATTTCACTTAGATAACATACACTAGACTCATCGGAACTAAAAATGACAAGAAAATCTATACAGGTGAGAAATCTTTACGAAGAAGTTCAATAGAAGCAAATATATAACTTTATGTAGCTAAAAACAAAACTAAAATAATTATCGAAATTCAAGATATTTTGATATGAAAGACAAGTGTAGAAATATAGCATCTTTAAACTTACTTTAGAGACAAAGCAAAAATAACGTAAGGAGGCATGACACTTGCTTGGTTTTTTCCTCTCATATAAAATAGAGAAAGATTTACAATTAAAATGTAAAATATCACGGAAAATTTTCTCATTTAAATTGGAGAAAGTCTTATAAACTAAGTAGTGCCGTTAATATATAAATTAATTACTAAATAACAAACTATAACTTCTCATGAATTAAGTTTCAGGGCTGCAACTAAATGGCAAAATTTTATTTTTGTTTACTTGTAAATCCACTGTATCTTAATATTGAAATCATAATATTCCAGAGTTAGATATAATATAATGTTATATAAGAGCTACCAATAACTATAATAACACAGCTCGTTTTCGATAAAATCAACTTTTCGTCTTTATATACTACTATATCTATTTATCGCTTATATTATTCGCTTATATTATTTTTTGTAAATCGGGCACAAAAATACAATGAAGAAAGATACACAAGATCACATTTAGAAATGCGAGACATTCTATTCCCCTTAATTATGATCTACATAAAAATCAATTAGAACAAAGCAAACATATAAAAGTCTTGGATCGACAATATGTTCATCTCGTTAGCATTACGAATATTTGTAAAATGGGATTGAAAGGTGTTTGCTTCGTACAAAGATTATATCATCTAATCACTCGGTCGATTAATATACGTTATGTGTGAGTGTATAGACATGGAATGCATATTTTTACTCTCGTCCCGAAGTATACTGTACGTAGGACGATGATTTTAAGTTGCGGCGATCTCTTACATATTTAATTCTTAATCCTCGGTCAAGAAGCGCACGAAGTAGTTACACCTTCGTTATACGAGATATTATATTTCCTATAGAAAAATAATTGCGAAGGCTAGAGGCTAAATGGAAGAAGTACTTGTCAAAATCTCGAAAGGCAGTTTACAACGTGCGCGATATACGAGAGATTACTCAGATGTAGAAATTCCGAGTATGCAAATGCAGTCGTGATGTGCCGTTTATTAAACCGAGACGAGAAGGATAACGTGGCAATAAGGAAGAATGACAAATGAAATCTTAGTCATTTTCAGACTTCGGTTATGTTCGATATCTACATTCTTCTTTTGACAAACATACGCGTATAAAATTTTCCAAAGCACATACGAGAACTATGTATAACAATGAGCGCGTTCACACAAGCCAATAGAGCAGTTAGCCTGGTTAGCGTGGTTAATAAATAAGAACTCCTATAAGTAAATAATTGAGCATTTTTAAATAATATAAATTGTAATTGTTGCAACAGATGTTGTATATTAAAAACTATTATTATTGAAAAGTAATAACATTAAAAATATATGGATTTCTATTTTTTGATAATCACATAATTGAAAATTAATAAAATTTAAGCAACACTAGTGACTTTAACGTAACCTAAGTTAATAATAAAAATAGAGAAACTTAATTTTATAAAAAAATTATCGTAATCTATCTCGCAAGGTAAATTGTTGAAAAAAAGATGAGATATTTTTATTTTCTGATGCATTCGCTCGGCAACTAGGCTAACTGTTCTGTTGGTTTAACATACCTAATGATTTTAGCAGAACGATTCTATAAAAAGATTTGTGAAAAATATCGGGGTATTTCTCTTTATGCTCGAACAGGGAAACTATTTGTAAGAGCATAAATATATACTTTGATTCTGTTTGCGCGGACACACGTTTGAAATCGTTCGCGATTGTACTATATAAAATGACGTTTTAATGGCACATTCTAATCTCTGCAGCGATGACTGAAGAATATCAGTTCTGCATAACACAAATCACAGATTATCTAACTACAGTTATACAATTCTATTTTTCGCTCAAAAAATTTTATATATATTTATATCTGAAAAAATATTGTTTAAATCTAAAAATTAATTTCTGAAATAAAAAAAGATCATACTACAGCATTATATGAAAAATTATACGATGGATTTGTTCGCTTTATTTGCGTTTTTTACACTCGTACTTCAGTGGAATGTTACTTCACTGGAACGTTAAAAGTAAAAAATTAAAGATTTCAAAACAAAAATAAACAAATAGCGCGAAATGCATGCATTTATTGAAAAAACTGTTGTTTTAATACCTTCGTATATATTAAATTTTAAATACAGAAAAATGTAAATATTGATAAAATGTAGAAAATGTAGAATTATTGAATATTTCAATGTAAAAATATAATTGAGATGAATATAACAGAAGGTATATAAAACGAACAAAATCTACTTCATTAGGGCATCGAAGGAAATATGCGATTTGTACTTTTTGTTGGTATTCTGGGAGATATTGAGCAGAGTGCATTCCCTTATTACATGTTTCCCTTCGAATTTGATCGCTTCACGTTTTGAATTTGCGTGTATTTCGTATCACATATACAAATACGAGTCATTACCTTACATATTAGTGAAGATTTTTGGAGTATTTGTTAGGACTCAAGACTCGGCTCTCTTGCTGCACCCATATTGAGTGATGACGTCAGAAACATGAAAAATGACATGTAAAAAGTTTCTTGTGCCATGTAACTTTATTTTATACTTTTCCTTTAAAAATATGATATTTTCATATTTTGAAAACTTGTAAAAAATTCCAGAAATTAAAACATCTGTCCAATAGATCACATAAAATTATAAAATAATTTTTGAATGGTACACTAGTTAGCTATCAGCTGCTCAGAAATCACCAAATTACTAATTCTAATCATTTCTGATAGCTGAGAGCAATGACTATTATTTCAAGAATTATTTTACACTTTTATGTGACCTATCAGATAGATATCTTACTTTCTGATTTTACAAGTTTTGAGAATATGAAAATAAATATGAAAATGTTTTTAAGGGAAAAGTACAAAATAAAACTATATGAAGAAACTTTTTACATGTTACTTCCCACCTCTGACGTCACATAACTCATGTCACGCCGCGAGAGAGTCGAGCCTTAATAGTGAAACACTTTTCTTTTTTTTTCTTTACTATGTTACATACTATAAGCAAAGATCAAATAAAGAATTATAATACGCATATAAAAATTAAATTTTTGATTTCAACAGAACCTATGCAGGATAGGTCAATATATCTTTATATAATATAAAATATCGTGTAAAAATACCGCATGAAAGATAAATTTCGATTGATCATGTAAAATCGTAGAAAACATAACAAAACATAAAAAAATAGGCCAATATCCCTCTTTTTTTCTTTCTTTTGCTTTATAGAAATGGCATGAATATTTTTGTTCTAATATAAGCGACATTGTATTATAACAATATATTCAAATCAAAATCATCGCTCGATATATTCACTTTTGTGATGCCGCTAGCCATTTCAGTATTGCAGCTCATAAGTGATAAAAGGTGAAACTGTATCAATCTGATAATTTTTTCTTAAAATATATAAATACTATTGTCAAATAACGCAATTTATTCCCTGATAGTATATGAATAAAGTTCGTACACTTCTAAAACTGTTATTGCAATGATTGGACCCATTCATACAATTAAAAATACATTCATTTTCATAATAGATTATTATTTAGCAATCCTTTAGCAATCCTTTTTTTTTCTAGATTGCACTTTTATTGAGATTATAGAAATAAAAACTTTAATTCATGCAAGTCTAAATATAGAAATTCAAACAAATACAATCCATTCACCTTTTGTCACTATGATATATGTCAGACCACCACTTTTCAATCTTCTAAAAGATTAGAAGAGGAAGAGGGTGGTCTGCCTCGCTTGCTACTTGGTCGCCTCGGGTGGACAATCGGGCTGATTATTGGGATGAGCTGCAGTGAAAGCCGGATGGTGTTCCAAGTGACGGTCCACCCTCAAAATCGTGGGGAAAGGTCTTAAATCGACATGAAATCTTCGTGCATTGAATATCTGTGGTACTAGGCAACAATCCGCTAATGTAATCTCGTCGCCGACGCAGTATTTGCCCGCGCTCGACGATAACAACTTCTCCACGGCTGAAAAATAGCATTATCAATATTTGCTTAATCATATGTATATATAACTCTGTTATTGAAATGTCATTATATATTGATGATTAAAAAAACTAGACGTTTTTTTTAATATTGCAGCGAGCACAGTCTTAATGTAATATTTTTCTTGACGATTTCCATATTCAATGAATGATTATAATTGCAAAATTCGTAATCTTTGTATCAGCATTTAAAGAGGACATTAAATATACAAATCTTAACTAGTTATTTATTAAAAGTTATTTATTTATAAAATTCGAATCTTTCAAGAAAAAGTGTTACATTGTATATACATAAATTAATACTCTTCATTATTTTTACAATACCTGTAAATCCTCTAGTAATCCAATGCTGTGCCCATTCTTTTTTACGTTCCTCTCCGACATAGATCAAAACAACGAGATTTTGCAAGGGTTGTATACCACTGGCAATTACTTCGCAAATCTCTCTCACTCTAGCTCTTTTGACAGGATCCGCTGGCATTAATGGACGATTTGGCCTAGTTTCCTCCAAATATTGCAGAATATTTAGCTGTAAAGAATGGTTGTATTTAACTGTAAAGAATGTTTATAAGTTCTGACAGATCGAGATAACAAGGATATACACATAAAATCAATCATACTCACAGACTCTATCAGCGTATGATTGTCGATATGAAGTGCAGGGACTTGCTCCATTGGATTAATTTCGCGAAATTCATTAGAATGTTGTTCTCCACCGCTTTTTATCAGACTAACAGGTTTTATATCATATGGTATCTCTTTTAGATTTAACGCTATAAATAGTATTGATAAATGTTTTAAAGATATGTAAATAAAAAATAAGCTCTGTACTTATATTTATAACAATATAACATTTATTCTATTTGTTAAATGTACAGATTTCTTGATTCCTAAAATACAAAATTTGTTATAACCAAAAATCTCTTATGCAAATATTAAATCAAGAAAATTTTGCCTACAATAATAAATTCATTCAAAATAGAGCTTTTGGAAATTAATTTTCCTACATATCATAATTAAATTACTTCGTAGATCTACATATATAAAATAATTTATGTATCCAATATAAAATTAAGCAAACTTTGACTCACCAATTCTTACTCTCCAAGAACAAGAACTTCGCCAGTAAGAATAAAGTATCGGCTATTAAAAAAAAAAAAAAGTAAGAAGAGATGTAAATAGCAGAAATTTCAATTAAGCAAAGATTGATATGACCAAATTGTGAAACCAGAATCACATAGGAAGAAAAATTAAGGACATTGGCAGATGTAAGTAGGAATGAGTTAAAAATATGTATTCATTGAATATGCTTATTATAATCCTTGACATGATATTAATAACAGTTAGTCAAATTTTTCACCTAGTATTTTAGAAGCATGTGAAAGATAATTTACAAAATTTCAAAACTTTAAAGATTATCTTTAAAAAGATAAAATATTTATATTAAAACAAGTTTTAAAATAAATTTTAAAGCTGAATTATAATAAAAATTCTAAGCTAGTGTACAAGAAACTTTACAAAATATTTTTAGAGTAAAATCATACAATTTTTATAAATTTTTCTTTTTAAAAAACGGTGAAAATATCAAAGTAGAAATCTAATAGTAAATTTAGTCACTTATACTACAGATTAGTATATGTTAAAATTACATACAAAATATTTAAATGCTAACAATTAAAATGTATATTCTGTTAAATAACAATAATTATGATATATTATCATTTATATCATTAATAACAGGTTTCACTCCTTTAAAAAGTATACTTTTTACATTGTAAAAAGTATA